CAGCAATTTATGTAGGTAACTATTTCCACTCAAAAGAGCACTGAAGCGGCTATTAGAAACTTGGAGATACAAGTTGGCCAAATATCTAAGAAGTTGGAAGATATGCCTGATAAGAGTTTTGGGGCTAATACTGAAGTTAACCCTAAGGAAGAGTGTAAAGTTTTAGTGAGTATGAATGTTGAAAAAGTTGAGTTAGAGAGAAGAGAAGAAAAAGAAGAGAGAGTAGAGAAAAAAGAAGAGAGAGTAGAGAGAAAAGAGAAAAAAATTGAAAATATTCTTCCTTTTCCAACAGATTATAAGAAATAGAGAAAGAGAGACAAAAGGGGCTTTGCGCAGATATCTTCAATCAAATGGATGTTGATCTACTTGTGAATGAAGCATGGCAACAATTTTCAGCTTAGGTAAATCATATGAATGAAATCTCCAAAAGAAAAAGATATATGGAGGAGGAGATTAATGAGTGCAAAGCTGCTAAGAAGAGATCATTCCCTCCAAAAGTGAAAGATCTAGGAACTTTCACCATTCCTTGCATCATAGGGAGGAAAAAGGTAAGGAAAGCCTTACTTGATTTAGGGTCAAGTGTCAATCTAATGCCTTTATCTTTACTTAAGCAAATTGGTGAATTTGACATCAAGCCAACAAACATGACTTTGCTAATAGCGGATGGATCTTCAATGAATCCTTATGTTATAGCAGAAGATGTTATGGTTTGTATAGGCAAACTACAATTCTTGGTTGACTTTGTGGTGATAAAGATGGAGGATGAAAGGCTGCCAATTATTCTTGGAAGACCATTTATGAAAATGGCTAAGGTCATCATTAATGTAGATGAGGGATTAGTGGTGCTTCAAGACCAAAAAGAAAGGGTGGTTGTTGACGTCTTCAAAGAAGAGCAGCAGATGAAAAGGAAGAGGCTAGTTGATAACAGTTGAAAAACTGTTATTTTCATGCTTGAAATTGATACTAAAAGCAACCTTTAACACTTAGAAACTAGCTTAAAATCATGCTTTTATTCATATTTTCAGAAATAAGAGAGCTGGACAGGTTTATGCTTGATTTCAGTGTTTTTGTGCAGGTTTTAAGGTGAATTTGGTGAAAGAAGTGAAGAAGGAGAGAGATGAAATCAAAAAAGACATCAAAAAGTGCAAAAGGAGAAGCCGCAACTGCCGCTCAGTGGCAGTTTACCGCTGAGCGGCACTCAGAAGCTCACGGGGGATCCGCTGAGGGGCAAAATGGCCGCTGAGGGGAACAAACCAACTCACGCACTTACCGCTGAGCGGCACACTTATGGGCTTGGGCCTAAATTTTCTGTAATTTTAGAATAGTATATAAGCTTTAGGACGTCCTAGGGTTTGTATCTTTGGCAGAAACGAAGCAAACACTCTCTCTTCCACCCCTTTGAAGGAGGATCTTGGATGCTCAGGCTACCTCTTCACCTTTCTAGGGTTTTATCTTTCATTCTTTCATTATTATTCATCTAGTTTCACCATGAATATGGTGAACTAAACCTTGTATTGTTGTTGGGGAATCAATGTAGTCTT